TTGTGAATTTAGATCCTAATTTAGAAGTCTGTATTAGGGTTCTTTAGAGTAACAGAACTTAAAGAATGAATCTCTCTGTAGGGATGGTTCAACACACAAAAATCTGCCAATGTAATCTACCATATAAATAAAGTGAAATAAAAAAAACATATGATCATCTCATTAGAGGCTGAAAAAGCCATTGACAAAATCCAACACCAAGATAAAGGATTTGGAGAGATCAGGGATACAAGGAACACATCTAACCATAATAAAAGCAATATATAGCAAGCAAACAGTCAACATCAAATCAAATGGAGAGGAGAAACTCAAAGCGATTACACTACAATCAAGAACAAGACAAGGCGCTTCACTCTCTCCATATCTACTCAATATGGTACTCAAAGTTCTAGCTACAACAATAAGAAAACAAAAGGAGATTAAGGGGATACAAATTGGAAAAGCAGAAGTCAAACTTTTGCTATTTACAGATGATATGATAGTATACATAAGTGAACCCAAAAATTGTAGCAGGGAATTCCTATGGCTGATAAATACCTTCAGTAATGTGATAGAATACAAGATCAACTCAAACAAATCAGTAGCCTGCCTATATGCAAATGATAAAAAGGTTGAGAAAGAAATCAGAGCAATATCACCTTTTACAATAGCTACAAACAACATAAAATATCTTGGGGTAACACTAACAAAAGAAATGAACATATGACAAGAACTTTAGGTCTTTGAAGAAAGAAATTGAAGATATCAGAAAATGAAAATATATCCCATGCTCTTGGATAGGTAGGATCAACATAATAAAAAATGGCAGTCTTACCAAAAGCAATCTACAGATTTAAAGCAATGCTCATCAAAATCCCAGCAAAATTCTTCACAGACCTTGAAAGAACAATACTCAACTTTATATGGAAAAACAAAAAACCCAGCATAGGAAAACAATCCTGTATAATAAAGGAACCTCTGGAGTCACCATTCCTGTTATCAAGCTCTATTACAGAGCTAGAGTAATGAAAACAACTTGGTATTAGCATAAAAACAGACAGGTGGACCAATGTAATCAAATCAAAGCCCCTGATTTTAATCCACACACCTATGAACACCTGATTTTTGACAAACAAGCTAAAAATATACAATGGAAAAAAGAAAGGAAATTCAACAAATGGTACTGGCATAACTGGATGTTAACTCATAGAAGAATGCAAATAGATCCATACTAATAACAATGTACAAAACTCAAATCCAAATAGATCAAAGACCTCAACATAAATCTAGCCACACTGAACCTCATAGAAGAGGAAGTGGGAAGTAGCCTTGAACTCATGGGCACAGGAGACTACTTCCTAAATATAATATGGGTAGCACAGACAGAGAGCAACAATAAATAAATGAGACCTCCTGAAACTGAGAGGCTTCTGTAAAGCAAAGGACACAGTCAATAAGACAAAAAGGAAGCCTACTGAATGTGAAAAGATCTTCAACAACCCAACATCTGACAGAGGACTGACCTCCAAAATATACAAAGAAATCAAGAAATTAGACATCAAAACACCAAATAATCCATTTAAAATGGGGTACATATCTAAACAAAGAATTCTCAACAGAAGAATCTCAAATGGCCTAAAGACACTTAAAAAATGTTCAACATCCTTAGTCATCAGGGAAATGCCAATCAAAATGACTCTGACATCTTACAGATGGTATCTGTCAGAATGCCCAAGATCAAAAGCACCCATGACAGCTTATACTGGAGAAGATGTGGAGTGAGGGGATTACTCCTCCATTGCTGGTGGGAGTGCAAACTTGTACAGTTATTTTGGAAATCAGTATGGCAGTTTCTCAGAAAATTGGCAATCAATCTGCCTCAAGACCCAGCAATACCACCTTGGACATATACCCAAAAAATGCAGACTCATGCCACAAGGAAATGTGCTCAACTATGTTCATAGCAGCATTATTTGTAATAGTAGGAACCTGGAAACAACCTACATGCCCCTCAAATGAAGAATGGATAAAGAAAATGTGGTAGATTTACACAAGTACTACTCACCAGTAAGAAGCAATGACATCTTGACATTTTCAGGCAAATGAATGGAACTAGAAAAAACATCCTGAGTGAAGTAACAAAGAGAATGCTAAGAGAGACATACATGAGTTCCCCTAGGAAGGGGAAATAGACAAGCTCTCCTGAGAAAATTGGGAGCATGAGGAAGGAGGGGAGAGGAAGTTGAGAAGGGCAGGGGGAGGAGAACATTAGGGAACAAGATTGTCAAGATGGGGGAAAGGACAGAGAGGGAGAGCAAGGAAAGAAATGTCTTGATTAAGGGAGCCATTATGGGGCTAGCAAGAAACCTGGCACTAGGGAAATTCCCAGGAATCCACAAGGATTACTCCAGCTAAAACCCTAAGCAATAGTGGTACCTGAACTGGCCTTCCCTTAAGAAGATTAATAACTACCTTAATTGTCATCATATAACTGAGATTGGTATATAAAATGAAAAAATTGTTTTAAAAAATAAATAAACAATAAAAAGAATGAACCTCTCTTTCTCTATGCATAGAAAGGGAAGTTATTAGAACAACTTACAGATTATGGTTCAGTTGATCCAACAGTGAATGGCTGGCTATGAAGAGAAATCCAAGATTCCAGGAATTGCTCAGTCCGTGAAGCTGGATGTCTTGACTGGACTTCAATATACACTGGAATCTTGATGAAGTAGGCGAGAATGCCAGTGAAAGAAAGGACTTGCTAACAAGGAAAAGCAAGCAGGTGAATTGTAATTCATTCCTGATGTAGTCAAGTTGACAACCAAGAAGAACCATCCTAAAGTCCTTTCCTCGGGTTTAGAACCCACCCTGATCATGCCAGAAGAAAGGATTACAGAAAGATTCTTCCATAATGTATAGAATCTGTAGTCTTAGAATCATCAGACATGGATGTAAAATATTTATTATCAGAAATAAAATAACATTGCTCTCAAATAATCATAAACCTGCAAAAAGTCCATGAAGTTGCTGTGCATGTTGAGGGCTGGGGAAATCTCAAGAAGAGATGGACAGACCAGACAGACAGACCTCTACTTGATGTTCCCTGGCTCCGCTCAGAGCAGGAATTCAAAGACAGACAATGTAAGGAAAAAGAAGCAAAGTTTTCTTTTGCAGAGTAAAAGTTATCATTCAGGGATGAATGTGGCTATTCTCAGAGACACTTGCACTCACGAGATAAATATGGACAGCATAATGCTTAGTGATATGGACATGTCTTCATAATGAAGTAAAGGATTACAGTTGTCTCCATTAACAATATTGGTCCTATCTAGATCCAGCAATGTCTTGTTTTTCACAAAGTTGTTACATGTTGCCCTGTGGCACTGGAGTTTGGTTGTGCCAGCTTTAGCTTTTATGCAATTACATTTTTTCCAATGATGTCTAGCCTGCCTCAAAATGATATAAAGTAGGGCTGGGGAGATAGGTCAGTTGGTAAAGAGCTTAACTTGTAAGCATAAGAACACAGGTTTGAGATCCAGAACCTATATTTGCAAAGTCAGGGCATGGGGTCCCTGTAAGATGCACGTTTAGTCCCAGCACTGTTGAAGTAGAGACAGGTAGGCCCCTGAGGCTCACTGGCTATCCAGGCTACTCTACTTGGGACTTTTAGGCGAATGTAAAACTATCTGTAAAAAATGTGGATGGTAGCTGAGAGATGATACACCCAAGATTTACTCCTGGCCAAAACACACACACAGATACACACACAGAGAGATACACATGCACACAAGCAAACATATACATCATGGTGCCAAGTATTTATTTAATTTTCTATCAGATTAATAATTTATTTTGATGTCTTTGTCTAGAAATAACAAAAAAATTACAAAAGTGGCTTTAGAAATAAGAAAGGTCCATTTTCACCCCCCCCATGAAAAATAGCATCTTGAGAGCAGCTTAACGGTTGTGGCTCACTGTGCTGTCTCCCTTCCAGCTGGAGGTGACTGTGGTGGTCCAGGCAAGATGTCTCCAGTACCCATCTAGATGTAGGAAAGGAGGGAAGAGCATTTATTTTTCAATTAGTTCACTTTCCCCCCCTTAAGCAAGAAAGAACTTCTCTAATTTCTAGTGGTCCTTCCTGGGTATTGATTAGAAAGAAGTTCATTCTCAAACTAATCACTGACAAGGGTAATAGAATTATAACAAACAATAAAGATCAAGTTAAATTCGCAGTGGGGTTGACTACATGCTCAGGCTTCCCTGAAATATGAAGCTGGTGGATGAGTACTGGTGAGGATACATAGGCAGGAACGCTCGCCTTTCTCACCCTCACATCCACCGGGAGGTGGCGTGGAGAACCCCTATGTCCATTTTCTATCTTCTTTTATTCTTCCAGTTGGCCATCACCATTTCCCTTTGTTTTCTTCCCTGTTCCAGCTCCTATCAAGGCACCAAGCACTCTGACAGACTGCCATCATTTCTCTTTCTTTGTTTTCTGTGAGAGTGAAGGCAGGCACTGACGGTTGGAGTCTCCTTGCAGTAGGTACAAAGCCTACATACACTAGCATCTTCAGACTTAGCCACGTGCGGTATTATCCTGGCTCATATTCCCCACTATCCTGCTTTAGAAAACCTGCCTTTTTAGAAGTCCCTTGGTACTGTTGAGAGGCAGATGTATATAATGATGTTTAGGAAGGGTGCTTCCTCTCACCACACAGCAGAATGCTACCACGGCTAATTGCTCCAAAATGTATTGGTGATGAATGAAAGTGTTGAGTGAATGGAGTTGCCTAAAGTCGTAACTCATAACCTGCATGGTTTGTTTTAAGAGCTGTGGAAAATTCTAACTTAGTGAAAGACTTTTGTGGACAACTGGCAACAAATCCTATGGTCTTCCCCACAGGAACAGGAAGTTTGTGTCATTTCATCCCCCAAAATGGCTTAACCAAATCTCGATTTTGCTCAAAACTAAAAATATTAATAACTTGTTATTTTTAATGATAAAAATTATGAGTCTAAGCTTTGCGCAGTGGCAGTATCGTAGCCAATGAGGTTTATCCGAGGCGTGATTATTGCTAATTGAAAAATTATGAGTCTGAGTCAAATAGGGTCTTGAGAATGGGGGATCAGAAATTTAAGGTCATCCTTGTTTATATAGTGTGTCTGAGGCTGTTCTGTGCCATAGGAGACCCTGATTCAAAATGAAAACTCAAAAAAAAATGAGTGTGATGAGAAGCATGGCAAGCTAGTGGCAGCAACGGAACCTGTCCCTTAGTGACAAGACAGCTGCTTTCAAGATGCAGACACCCCGAATTCTCACTGCTGCTTCATTTCAGAAACCACTGCTGTGAATCACCTCCCTAGCTAGCTGAACCTACCTTCAGGCTCGGTTTCATTTCACTTTGATCCATAATAAGTACACATGACTTCAAGAATGTTGAAATGTTATGCTCTATGTTAAAATTAAGTAGATAAATCTCCTGCCTCGTTTTATATTATATCCCATTGAGTTTACTAGCAATGAGAAAACCCTGAAATTTTCCAGCTCTGCTTTTTGCTTAACCTAATATCTTCCTGTCACATCTAGGAGTTTTCTGTCACTAATTGTTCACTCAAAAAAACCACTTTGAAATTCTGCTTGAGCAATGTGTGGAGAATGATGAGGGCCATGTGGTATGTGTAATGGTTTAAGTAAAATGCTGCAAGTCCTCGAGTGACGGCAGTGGGCAGCAGGCCATGAGACCATGCTGCAGGTTCCCAAGCAGGCAGTGGGCAACAGGTCCTAAGACCACGGCAGGCTACGAAGGCAGTCAGATCCCAGGCAGGAAGCTGTGTGGGGAGTGAGATACCTAGATGGATAGGCATGCCATGCATAGTGAAGTTGGATATTTGTTTAGTGGGTTATGGAGGGGAAGGGGAGAAGGAGGAACAAGAGAGGAAGGAGAGAGAAAAAGGGGGGGAAGGAACTTAGACTGGAAGCTGAAGTTCACCTTGCCTAGGCAGACAGGGGAGGGAGTGGGTGTGACTTGTCGCTTAAAGGGACAGAGCTGACCTTTACAATATGGGAAATGAAGTTAATGAGGAGAAAAGAAAGATCCAGACACACAGGGCCTTTTCTATGGTCGCTTGTGACCAGCTTACTGTAAAAAATAGAATTATTGGCTTAAATTGAGTGTTTTTCATTAATATTAATTTCTGACCAGGACAAAATGGCAAGAAAGGCACATCCCTCTCCCCTTTATGATACTAAACTTTACACTCCAGAAATGGTCATAAAACAACCAGGGAAGGATTTGAATGGTAGAAAGTAAGATGGTTCCAGACTTTAGACTGGGGGTGACCTGGACATGCAGTTTCCCAATCTTTGACCTTGTTAAAGAAGACAGCCCAATTTAGTTCATTTGTCACCCAGAACATAAAGGATTCTCATTGGCAACATCGCACAAGGCATCAATGAAGAAGTCCAACCACGGCCCCGACAACTGGGAACCATCCTCTCCTATTCTGAGCTGAAACTCTACAGCCATTACAGTGATTTTTTTTAAAATTTTGTCACCAAAGAAAACCCTTCTGTGTCCTTAGATGGCATAACAGGAGCCAGTGAGAGCTTATGGAGCGCCACATATCCCACACAGAACAAAACACCAGCACAAAGGCTGTGAGTCTGAGGTCGTAGTCAGCAGGAGGGTGAGAAGTGTATCTTATAGTTGGGCAGAAGACTACTTGCTATCATGGAAGAATTCAAAAGGATGCTTAGTCTCCTAATACAAGGTACAAAATGCCCAAATATAAGTAAAAACCTTTCATCATACTGAGAACCAAGAATGCCACAAGAGTGGGAGAAGGAAATCACTTCATGCCAATATCTACCAAGACAAACAACATTCTCGAATGATCTGTCAAAAATTTCAAGGAAATGATCATTAAATTGCTATAGAAATAAATCATTATCTTGAAACAAAAAAATAACCAGAAAACCCCCTACACAGTCAGTCTGTGAGAGGTAACCCTCATTTGCGGTCTACACTGGAAAGATCTAAATCCCTAAAGGGCTGCATTAGAATCTGATCCTTTTGCTTCTAGCATGATCCCCAAACTGGGCAGACCAAGAGTTCTGTGGACCATTCTTTAGAAAACAAACAGACACTCAAGAATGACAATAAAACAAAACAAACTGAAACAGGTCAAAAAGAACAAACAAAAAGAGCCAAAGAGAAAGCACAAGATAAGCTGGGTGTGATGGCACAGGCCTTTAATCGCAGCAAGAGAATCTCTGTGAGTTCAAGGCCAACATGTTCTACAAAGAGAGTTCCAGGATAGCCAGGACTACACAGAGAATCCCTGTCTTGAAGAAACAAACAAAAAAGAAAGAGCACAATATAGATAGATAGATAGATAGATAGATAGATAGATAGATAGATAGATAGATACAGAGACACACTTGTTTGTACACACAGGAATTCCCTAAAACCACAAAGCCAGAGGCCAAAATTACATATATGCACAAAGCTTTTAGTAGTGGCCAACCAATATCTGATTAGATCTAGGGCCCGATTTATAAGGAGGAACCTTGCTCAAGTGGTCGAGAACCTGATAGGCTACAGACCTGGAAGAAAACCAAATACTACTGTTCTATTAAAGAATTATAACCATAAAATGACTCCAAATGACATTCTGCTATACTCATAGACCATTTTTTTTTGCCCGGCCATCACCAGAGAAGCTTCCTCCTGCAAGAGATGGGAACAAATACAGTGACTCACAGCTGGGAAATGTGGAGGGAGAGAGAGAGAGAGAGAGAGAGAGAGAGAGAGAGAGAGAGAGAGAATCTCAAGACACTTCCTCCTAAATGGGATGTCTCCATCAAATCCCTCCCCTTAGGACTCAGTGAATTATGTTCTTATAAGGAATGTTTTGTGGTTGTATATTAATCTCATCAGCAATAAAGGGAAAAATCAAGCGTGTAAAATTAGTAATTTCGGGCATTTCTTAGAGCAGGGCTAATGCTGAAGGAATAAATCTGATCTGAACAGTAGCTTTGAATGAATAATATTCTAATTGAAAGGAATGGGACAGTGCTGATGACATGAATAAAACATTAGCGTTGGGATCCATACGTATCCATAAAACATCAGTGTTGGGATTCATATCTCTCTCTCGCACACTGATAGAGGAATCAGCTGATGACAGAGGCTCCCGATTCTCCAGTACAATTTCCTTGTTCAGAAATGGGCTAGCTTTTGACTTCAGGTGTATGAGCATCCCTGCAAATGTATGACTGGCAGAGCAACAGACCATGAGAGGCAAACAGGAAACCCAGTTCAGCATTCCTTAGTTAGATGGACTGGTTCAACTTTTGGAGTCTGACCCTGAGCACTTAATGTAATGTTCTGTCCTGTCCCTTAAGAGACAAGCCACTCCCACTCTCTCCCCTGTTTGCTGAGGCTAAACCATTACATTTTATTTTTGACATGTTTAAACACAGTGCAACTCTGGGAAAAGGCTTCCTCATGACCGTTATCACAATAAAGCTTAAAGCACAACTACATTGAAACTCCTCTGCAAAGTACATGTCTTTTGCAAAGTACCTGTGACCTCTTCCACAAGAATGGGTTGTATTGATTGAGAAAACATGCTCAGAATGAGGGGGAGTCTGGCAAAGTCAGGCTCTGCAGAATAGCAAAAATTACCAGGCTATAAACAACATCTACTCCAACCTTCTGGACAGAACAGGTGCAAATCCCTTCCATTGAAGAGAAAAGCCCGTGTGTTTCACATTTCCGATTGTTCTAGTGTTATCCATGAGCACAAAGACCATGTGCCCTTCTATATCTCCCCATTTCTAACTTTTTAAAGAAAAAATAGTGGCTGTAATAGAGGCCATGACTGAACACTGGCTGGTCTAATTAATATAAGCAAGCTAAAGAGAATGATAAGAATAACTAACAGAGGTCCAAAGAAAGGGGAAAGCCACCTAAGCCATGATGGCCATTCAAAGATCACTTGAGAGGTTTTATCTATCTATTGGTGTAAATCATTAATTTGACCATCAATAGCATGGGGAAATTTTGACACATTAAAGCAAAACATACGAGGAAATTATTAATGAGCAACAAATAACCTATGGTTGTTCTGCTGTGTATCTGCTTGGGTAAGCAATACAACAGGTATTTACTTCTTCATCTTTACACCTATAGTTTCTATTACTAGAGCTTTTTAAAGAGTGCTTAATTGTGCTAAAATCCATATTATTGTGTTTTGATTGATAAGTTAGATTTGTCCAATCAAAATATCTCCCTTTCAAGAGACTAAATATTTGTATACTATCTTTTATCTAGACAGCTGGATAAAACAACTTCATGATGTCTCCTATTACAGATGGGCCTTTTGCCTCTACTATTGTGATTATAATTTTGTTGTCTGCCCTGTCACCTGGGTACCCTGTCCCTTTAAAAGACAAGCTCTGCCTATTCCCAATCTCCCCCTTCCCACCAAGGCAAACTGATTTTATGCTTTTCTCTTCCTTTCTCTTTGTCCATTCTGCCTTTGAAGAGACAGCCTCTGCCTCCCTCCATCCATCCCTTCTTTTCCTCTTTCCTCTCTCTCTTTCTCTGTCCCTCTATCTCTCTCTCACTCCCCATACTCCCTTACCCTTATACCCTCCCAATACCCACTAAACAAACTTCATATGCAAGCTCTCTCCACATGGTGTATCTCTCTGTCTCTCATCTGCTGCAGTAGGACATGCCAGGGTCCTTCACACCAAAAATGTTTCATCCACCCTCCAGTTTCCAAAAAAAAAAAAGCATCTGGTTTTTATGTAGACATGCTAATGAAATTAACACAACAGTATCATTTTTAGGTCAATAGTATAATGTTCTTGTTTCTTTCCTGTTGTTAAGGAGGGTCGCTTATTTGTTTCCCGGCTACTTAGCCCCAAATTAATCACACAGAAACTGTATTAATTAAAACACTGCTTGGCCCATTAGCTCTAGCTAACTCTTACATCTTATTTTAACCCATCTCCATTAATCTGTTGAAACCACAAGGGTCATGGTTTACTAGCAAAGTTTTAGCACCTCTGTCTCCAGCAGTGGCTCCTGGACTCTGCCTCCTTTCTCACAGCATTCAGTTTAGTTCTACCTTAGTTCTGCCCTATCAACAGGCCAAGTCAGTTTCTTTATTCA